ATTGCTCCCTGGTGAAAGCAGCTGCTAAGTGGTAAAATGTTGCTGGTAATGTAATAATGGTGTTAGAGGTGCATGCCCCCTTAGTGCTGGCCACTGCGGTTTGACTTGCAGTGAGGTACGATTCTCCACGAGGCCTCTTTAGAGTAGCTGGCCCGCATGAGCATGGCTTGTTCTAATCAGGGATCCTGGCTGGAGCAGAGGCAGTAGGAGCTGCGGAACCTTGGCAGGTTTTCTCAGCATCGCCGGCTGTGGCACCCATATAGCACGCAGACACACACACACACACACACATACACACACACACACACACACTTCCATTGTAATTATGTGTCAAGTTAAGCAAGCGATTGGCGACCTCAGGGCTGGACATAATGTGGGAGAGAGGGCACTGAGATGTAGGAATGCCCAGGACCCCCCGACAAGACAAATTACACTCCTATGCTCCAATGAGCCTAAAAAGGCACCCCAGCATAGTAGCTGTCCAGACCACCATTGGGGGGGGGGGGGGTCAGCTGGCCGCGGTATCCGCTTCTTACATGATCCTCTTAGTCTTCGGTCAAGAAACCAACTTCCAGATGCCCAGCCAAAGCAGCTCTGAGCTCACTGACCCATTTCCTAAGGTTCCACCGGCTGCATTTAACCTGACATTGGTGTGAAAAAGCACAGATAAGCAGGCTTTGCCACTGTTACATCAAAGCTATAATGCTGTTTGACAACAATAGTGTCTTCACTGGGAAACTTTGGTAAATCTCCATGATCTGCTGTGGTTCCAGTGAGAGGGGTACACAGTCTGAACCCAGTCAATAAATATGTGTATACTGGGTTACTGCAACGCATTTTACGTTTCCCAAATTATGTGTCTACTGCAAAAACAAGTGTAAATGACACACACAATTTGACATAATTTACATATTTAAGGATGCCTGTCAAGTGCCCCCTCCGAATCTTACAGTAACCCGCAGTGCTTAGGGAGGGCGGCTGTCTTGGATGGGACAGTAACCCGCAGTGCNTAAGGATGCCTGTCAAGTGCCCCCTCCGAATCTTACAGTAACCCGCAGTGCTTAGGGAGGGCGGCTGTCTTGGATGGGACAGTAACCCGCAGTGCGTAGGGAGGGCGGCTGCCTTGGATGGGACAGTAACCCGCAGTGCGTAGGAAGGGCGGCTGTCTTGGATGGGACAGTAACCCGCAGTGCGTAGGGAGGGCGGCTGCCTTGGATGGGACAGTAACCCGTAGTGCGTAGACAGTGCGGCTGCCTTCGATGGGACAGTAGCCCGTAGTGCGTAGGGAGGGCAGCTGCCTTGGATGGGACAGTAACCCGCAGTGCATAGGGAGGGCGGCTGCCTTGGATGGGACAGTAACCCGCAGTGCGTAGGGAGGACGGCTGCCTTGGATGGGACAGTAACCCGCAGTGCGTAGACAGGGCGGCTGCCTTCGATGGGACAGTAACCCGCAGTGCATAGGGAGGGCGGCTGCCTTCGATGGGACAGTAACCCGCAGTGTGTAGGGAGGGCGGCTGCCTTGGATGGGACAGTAATCCGCAGTGTGTAGGGAGGGCGGCTGCCTTGGATGGGACAGTAACCCGCAGTGCGTAGACAGGGCGGCTGCCTTCGATGGGACAGTAACCCGCAGTGTGTAGGGAGGGCGGCTGCCTTGGATGGGACAGTAACCCGCAGTGCGTAGACAGGGCGGCTGCCTTG